TCTCGTATTGTAACGGCTGTTGGGGCGCTAGGCCCTTCGAGGCGGTCGAGACTTCTGGCATTGAATGCAGTCATACAGCATCTTGCAGTAAGAGGCTTTGTCTGGACTACCGTAGCATGAGTAGTATCAGCAGCATTGTCTTTGAGATCCAAGCATTCAATCATTCAATTATTCATTCATTCAACCGACATGTGAGATCGGAACTCCAAAACAACACAGCCATGGCCCGGTTGAGTCGCGACCCTGTCATTTGATTATTTGTTGTTCTCCGGTGCGCGGCCTGCTTTTCACAGGCCATTGCTGTTGTTCTTTCTCTGGGCTGAGACGTGCTGTGGTGCCGTTTGGTGAGGTGTTCATCCGACGAGCCGGGGATCGATTGGCCACAGGGCCGCCGTGTGTTCCTGCCTGAGATGGAGCGGGCTTTTGTTGTCGCTGTACGAGCCTGTCATTCGATCGCCGCAAATAGGCTGGGGTTGAGTCCTTTCAGCAAATGACCGGCGCTGAAGATCTGTCGGTCAAGCTGGCGATACTTTCGATTTGCAGTCTGGGTGGCGGTGGATGCAAGTATCTCTTGTCGTCACCAAATACTCACTCTTATTAGTGGTTTGTGTTGCTCTTTGGCCTATTGTGGTCGACCTCCAGGGGCCTCTCGCTTGTTTCATGTGTCGACGGTGTTTGGCGTGGCTTCGCCAATCGCTGGCTCCCCCTCAACATGCAAATCCGTCTGCCAGGTCCCAACCATTCATCGATCAAAGGCGTGACTGTACAGTATTGGAATTATGCGGCGAGGGGGCGCCCATTGGCGAGCATGGGTAGAATGCAAATCCGCAGCCATTCAAATCACCGAAACAGCAGCCTTCTGGCGAGCGGGACAGAGCCTGAACAGATCTGAAGAGTGCAGAGCGGCCTTTCACCACTCGTGAGATGATCGGCTCCGGTCCACAAATGTCTAATTGTCTTGGATAGGGATGCTCGGCTGGGGCTCGTCCTTGTCTGGGGCGCTGCAGGTACAATCATCAATCAACACACCTCAGTACTGTACACACAGACACATACACGCTGCGCGCGCGCGCATGGCTCTGCAAGAGGCGGCCAGCCAGCCAGGAGGAGGCATGTGCCAGAAGAAAGCAAATTGTGAGATGCGCGCCTCCATGATCTCCATACGGTCCATGTTCATGCCGTCATCTTCAGTTATCGTAGGAGCAGTAGTCATAGTCATTGTGTCTGAAAGGCCTTGGTACTGTAGAGTCTCCTCTAATCGATCCTGAAAGCAACGTTAGCTCTCCCTTGATGATAAAACCGGCTTGATTCCCGCCTCCCTTTCCCTTGCTGCTGGTTCCTGGAATGAAGCCGGACAAGCAATAATCGAGAACAGTAACTCGTCCTTTTCTCCTCAGACCATTCTCCAAAGAGTTGGTCGGTGTCTCTCCATTACAGCCAGACCTTACCGTAACTGGCTGCGCCAACTCCCTTTCCTGGAAACCATTTGGATCCTCCGTGCCTTGTCTATCTCTCACACCTTTGCCCGCCGCAGCTAAGGGCCAGCGAATTACACGCCTCGACGGCTACTGTTACTGAGCCTTACTGCATTCGACGACGACACTCTTTCCCTCGACGAAGCCTTGCCTTTGCTGTGCTTTAATCACCGAGATATCCCTTTGCAGTGTGCAGGCCACCTCTATTCGGCAACGTTCTCGTCCAGCCCAGTCTAGTGCATCACCGCCGGAGCACCAGCATAATCGCTTTTCTCCCTTCCGAGGCTCCGGATTCGATATATCGGCTTCTCCAATCCAGTTGACCTGCTGTCTACCTATTACACAATTTCATTCACCGCCCTATCTAGCGATTCAGGGAAGGCATCGTCATTTCCCATCGCAGGAGGCTCTCCACTTGCAGCCCACGCAGGCAGAAGTCGGTAGTATACTTATATCGCAGCCTGGCCGCCTCTATCTAGTCCATCTTGGTTTTTGTTCCTGCAGCCTCAACAAGCCACCGATCGTTTCGTCACACACTCCAATACACAAGCATCTGCAGCACAAGGCAGACCAGACAGACAAACAGACATCAAGACTAAGACGACTTACACAAGTGCCCTCTCGTCTTCCCGCCAGCCCGTTCGGCCTCCAGCTACATCCATCCATCCATCCATACATTCATACATACATACGTACATTCTACGCATAACCGTCTTCGCACCGCCGCCGTTCCTCAAGGAGAAGAAGAAAACGCCACAGCGAATCAGCACCCGCCCGCTCCAACCACAGCCCAAACGCTTGGAACACCTGCATACCTCGGGGAAACCCCTACATACGATCCTCCCTCATACTGTCTCTCTCTTCAGCTTACTCTTCTCTTTTGGGGAGTATCTCTGATTCCCAGCGACTGCTCTGACAGCGCTTGTGCAGCCAGCCCCTAGAACGACAGCGAATCCTTTTTTTACTTGTTCAATACAACAATCAAGGAGCATCAAATAAGGTTGCTGTGATAAGACGGGTAGCCTCTTGTGCTTGCATTGATTAAAAAGGGTCAAGAAGCCATTCAGCCATATCGATATATTAATTGCCAGCCAGGCCTGCGCCGGACCCCAAAGTTGCCGATCACATCTTGTTGCTATCTATCTATCTATCTATCTATCCACCCATCTGCACGCACGCACTCCCGCAGTTGCATCGACAGTCGTACTTTTAGAAACTCGTCGACTAAAAGACATCGACAGGGCGATCTTGTCGCTGGTTCGGGATCTGTTCACTCACTCGCTGACTGACTGTCTCCATCGCATCGCATAAGGTAGCAGAGCATTAGCATTGAGCATTGAGCATTAGCTAAGCTCTAGTACTGGCACAGCAGCACCGGCACAGCAGAAAAGGACCCCCAACACGCAGCCGCCCAAGCCTGGAAAGCACGGATCACCAGGTCCAAGATTAGAAACCTGTGACCCAAGACCCAAGACGGCAAGCAAGCACCCCGCCGTCTTAAATCATCAATCACCATCGCCTGGACACGGCTGTCTTGTCTGTCTCTCTCTCTCTCGATACGACACGATACTATCGTCGACAAGGATCATAAACGAAGAGTAAAAGCCCCATTTCAAGGAGTGGATTTAATTACTACGCAATTCCCCCTTGGATTTTTCTTCTTCTCGACAATCCGGAGCTTAATTCTGTCGTGTTAAAAGGACAGCGTCAGCGTTGCTTGTAACCAAACTCAGCCACGTTCGGCCCCCGCAGTCCGCGTCAACTTCGCCTGAGCCCGAGTTACGTCGCCCTGCTCATCTCTGCCAGCAAGCCACAGCCGCCAGTGTACGCAGTCAGTAGTCAGTAATCCACTCTTATTACTGACTCTTGTTCGTTTCCTGGTGAGTCCCTTAGCATCTTCTATGCTGTTGTTTCGGCATTCACTAGCATTTTGATGCGTTTTAATGCATCTGCATCATCAGCATCGTCATCACCATCATCATCATCAATATACCCCGAGATATATCCTCACGCTTTCCTTCACCGTGTCTTGTCGTCTTTTTGCTGACCTTGAAATCTGTGTCTCTGTGTAGCAGCCAACCGGAAATCTTAGACTTGGCCGTTAACGCATTGCTACTGCAAACCACCGTTAGCAGTAACAGTCAGTCTCGCCTCCTCCATTGATTGCATTTTGCATTCCGCATTCCGCATTCCTAGGCCAGGCCCGAGCCCAAGCCCAAGCCCAATCCAGAGCCGGCTGTCGATCATCCCAAACAAAAGGTACGTATCATTCATAGTACTTTCCCTACCAAGAAAAGTCCCTGCTCTCCTGATTCAGGTGCGGAGCAAGCGCACACCAGTCGTCGCTGCCATGCCACAAGCACCTGAACACCCCTCCCTCCCTGGAGCCCCTAGAGCCCCTGCCCCTGCCACCCGCAGCGACGGAGGGCTACTGACCACCCACCGCTTGGAATTGAGACTGACCGGCTTCTGACAGCGCCCAGCAGCATTACCGGTAATCAAGCAGAGAAAGAGACAGAGAAAGAGAATCGGGTACGCAGCAAGTACGCAACAGTGTCCACTGCTACTGCTACTGCCACTGCTACTGCTACCAGCTCAGCCTCGTGTTTCCTGTCCTGTACGTACGTCACCTTCCCCCAGCATCAGCCAGCATTTACATTCTACATTCTACATTCTACCTGCCAGCACCCAGCACCCAGCCAGGCCTTCACTTGCAAATACCTGGCCTAACACTATACTTACCTATATAGGTACTCAGCCATCACGAGCCATTCACTCACCGTCATCTGCGATTGTGCAACACAGTCAGTCACCCAGAAGGCCAGGCGATCCAGCCCTCTGCAAAAGCCAAAAGCCAAAAGCCGGTCCAGCCCGCGCCATCAGCCACCCCTGTCCTCCTGTACTGCATAGTACGTACCTTGTTCCAGGGTACAGTACTTGCTCTGTGTAGGTACAGTACCTGCGCTACCCACCTAGGTACCTAGGTACTTGACCCTCTACCCCTCCGCTAGTCTAGCTCCGTGTTGGTTGCATAGCATCCCACCCAACCAGCCAGCGCCAGCCAGCGCCAGCCAGACAACTTCGCCGCCCCTTACGACTCCCTGACTCCCTTACTCGTATAAGCCAGCCCCAGGCACAGGGCAGCGCAGACTTGCAGTAGTCGGTCGTCCACACCACCAACTACTTTGTCACTACTCGACTTTATTATATCCATCCTCCTCCTCCTCCTCCTCCTCTTCCTTCCCTTGCTTACGGCTTCTCTCCTTCTCCTTGTGTTCCCCTGCCTTAGCCTTGTTTGCTTCGGGGATTTTAATACATACACCCATCCTCACCCTCACCCTCACCCACATTGTCACATCCATCCTCGACTCGACTCGATTCACTTCGACTCGACTCCTCGACGACGACAACGACCTCTTTTCTCTTTGCAGGACCAGGGAGAAACGAAGGGCTTACTACACCCACCACCACTGCTACTTCGCCAATCCGCCATATCTCTCGATTCACATATCCACATACATCACCATGGCTTCGTTACAGACCTCAACCACCCTCAGCCCCGCTGAGCTGAACGCCGCCGCTCTCGACCACTTTGTCTACACTCCCGTCTCGCGAGCCATGATCTCCTACCTCGCCAATGCTGCCGCCAACGTCATCCAGTGCGACCCCACGATGATGCCCCCGCCGCCAGCCGAGACCGTCGCAAAGTCTCATCTCCCCCCTTCGCCCCCGAGGACGCCTCCTCCGAGAGCCGTGCGATGCGAAGACGGCGGCCTGCCCACCCTCGACGACTTCATCACCCAGCTCGTCGTCTCCTCCAACGTCCAGGTCCCCACTCTCATGTCCACCCTCGTCTACCTCAACCGCCTCAAGTCCCGCCTGCAGCCCATGGCCAAGGGCCTGCGATGCACCACCCACCGCATCTTCCTCGCCTCTCTCATCCTCGCCGCCAAGTACCTCAACGACTCCTCTCCCAAGAACAAGCACTGGGCCAACTACAGCGTCATCAGCACCGAGGCCTACAACTTTGGCTTCTCCCGCACAGAGGTCAACCTCATGGAGAAGCAATTGCTCTTCCTGCTCGACTGGGACCTGAGGATCACCGAGGAGGACCTGTACCGCGAGCTCGACATCTTCCTGTTCCCCATTCGCGAAGACATTGCAGCCCGCCACGCACGGAAACAGCGCAGACGCGCAGAGGAGAAGCGCAGGAAGCAGGAGGAGGCCGAGTGGATCGCAGCTGCTGCCACCACTGCCACCACCGCCAGCTACCAGACCCCGCCCTCCTCGCGCGGCAACTCTCGCTCTCGCTCACGCCAGGCCACCGCCAGCCCGCCCGGCCTCACCTACAGCTCCAGCGCCAGCTCGGCATCTTCCTCCTACGCCGGCTCCATCGTCTCCTCGCGCTCGCACTCCCGCTCCAACACGCCCCTCTCCGAGCTCGAGGCCGAGCCCTACGTCTACGGCCTCGACGCCGACCTCTACGAGGCGCCCATCGAGATCGTCCTCGAGCAGGCACCGCCCAAGCAACACTATCCCTCCGCCAAGAGCGCCGGCAAGCAGCTGCTGCCCTACGAGATCAGCGCCGACGAGCTACGGGAGATGCAGGAGGGCGGCAACCGCGTGAAGCGCATGCGCGGCATGCTGGGCCGGGTCTTTGGATCCACCGTCGCTGTCCGATGAGCAGGCAAGCAAGCAAGCAACCGCATCCATGGTAAAGGAACGAAATGCATCCACCCGGCGTTGAGGCATGGAACTTTTACATTACGGACCGATTTTTTTTTCTCTCTCACTTACACTACTACTATCAAAAGCGCGGCGTTCAACCTTGTCTCTTCATGGATTAGAGAGATTTTCTTCTTCTTTTTTACCTCTACTCTTCGATTCACCTTGCCAACGAAACGATTATACAACCACTTAATTTCCTTTGTCCAGACAATCCGCGGCGTTGAGGAATGGAAGGGTGGATCACCCTTTGATGAACTTGCATTTTCTGGCACCACCACCCACACAAGGAAAGTCCTTATCTGAGGATTTTCTTTCTGCTTGCGGAGTTATTACACAGCATTAAATCCTCGCAATTGGCTGCGAGTGTATCAACTGTATAGGATAGGCCAGGAAGGGAAACGATAGGACAGATTCAGATTCAGATTCAGATTGATGAGGATCCATCAGGGAGGGGGCATATTTGCATGGTAAACGGTATGGAAATGAAGGGATTGACAGACAGGCAGGCAGGCTAGGGGCGTGTTGAGAAGATACCATAGCATTGCTTAGGACACCAGGAATGAATGGAACGCAGAGATCTGGATGATCTTGCTCATTGATTGAATTTGCTACTTTGCCTGTCTCTCTCCGTGCACGTGCATTTGGTGACTTGAGTTGAGTTGAGTTGACTTGACAGCTGTACTGTACCTGCATTGTTTACTCTGCTTGCTTGCTTGCGTGCGTGCATGAACATCTAGATTGAGACCCGGTCGCGAATACTGGCCGCCTATCGTAGCTCGACCATGAGGGCCTTGTTGATGATGTGCTTGTGCTTGTTGTTGTTGCTGTACAACGCATGCAATGGATGGATGGATGGATGAGCACGGCCTTGCTCGTCGCGCCCTACTCACTTGCCTGCCCATCTAGTGTAGCAACCATTTACCTACCCCGGTTGCGCGAAGGAACTGGCCTTTGCTCCTGCCGAGGCTGAGGACGGATACTACCTACGATGATGATCCGCGAGGCACGGTACGGCCGTGGCCCATGACCCATGGCCCATGACTGCTTTGCGTCCTCGGTCGGTGGTGTTGGACTTGACCATCTGCCTACTACGGCGCGGCATCTTCTTACCTTGCCTTGCCTTACCTTGCGTTTCCTTGCCTCAGGCTACCGAATTAGTAGCATCCGAAAGCAATCACCCTCACATGTCCCAACTGACTGACTGACTGACTGACTGACTGGATTTTCCCCCCACCGGATGGATCGTAGGTGTCGTTGGCTCCTGCGCCCGGGGAGCGCGATCCGTAAGGTTCAGGCCTGTCGGCGATAGACTTCTCCACACCCAGGGGTCCAGACCTCTGCCTGGCTACGGGAGCGCAATCAAGTGTCATGTTTTCCTGGAGTCACCCAGCTTGCTGGGCCTGGCACTGGGACTGGGACTGGGACTGGGACTGGGACTGCCGGGCGTGGTATGATTTTTGACTCGCGGGGGTGCCGCGAGTCAAGTGCTCGGTTTGGTGGCAGGAGAGCGAGCCTAGACTCCCTCTAGCTTTTAGCTCCTCCGGCGTCCCGGCCGCTCGCTCGCTCGCTGCGCTGCGCCGAGTGACTGATTGACTTGGTGGTGTATGGATGGATGGATGGCTTGTAGAGTGACCCGGGACCCCGGCCGGAGACGTCGGGACGGTCTGGTCTGCGTGTGTGTGCGTGTGTGACGACGCCTTTTCTCGTTGGTTCCTTTGTTCGTAAGAAAATTTCTCAGACGGGCATGTTGCGCAGTCACGCGCTCGTAACCCGGGCGGCGCGGAGAGAGAGAGAGAGAGAGAATAGAGGCTGATGGAGCCTGCTCTGTCGCCTCGGTCGTGCGCCAGTGGGAACGATGGATTGTGTGAATACTCGCTCAGCAGCAGGATTGCCCAACGATCGTGGCCCCGGTCCGCCTGAGCCTCTGTCTGCTCTGCGCTCTGTGGCTTGCTATGCTATGCTATGCTATGCTCTGTTCAGTGTAAGTGCCTGGTACGCTGGCCCGGGCTTCCTAGGTACTATCCAGCGAGAGCCTTATGGGGAAACAGATCGTGACTCGCTGGGCTGGGAGTGTGGGACGAGCCAATCGCCGTGACGAGGACCACCCCCAGGATGACGGGTCCAGCTCGGCAACTGCAGGGCTGCCATTGCGTATGTACCGTATGTAGAGGCGGTACCGTATGTAGAGTAGGTAGTGAGCCTCCCAGCTGCTGAGGGATGTAGGTAGGATCCGCGAACGCCTATTGCGCAATATGTGCTTGCGCATCTAGCATGCTTCAAGGCTAGTCGGCCTCTTGGTGTTGACTATCCGGCCAGTAGTAGGATCTGGTTTTGGTCTTGTCTGCCTGCAAAGGTGCCTGCAGAAAAGCCCTTGGAGCCGATCGCCAAGCGAGCCTCACTGGAAGCAGGCAAGCGGGATAAGGTAGACTGCATTGCGCTAGGTATGCGCTGCGACTGCGACTGCGACTGCGAGAAAGCGAGGCGTTGTGCTGTGCTGTGCTGCGCTGCGTTTGGGGGGACGATAGGAAGAGAGAGGGGGATGACGGCATAGCCACGCGCCAGTCATCCAACCACGGCGCGAGGACGGGCGCAGCTGGAGGGGAGTGCACACGGCGCGGCCGCGAGAAAAAAAAAATTCACCTATAGACTAGAGAGACTGACAGGAGAGGAGGCACGGACCGGGTAAGCATTGTCGAGTTGCCTGTTTGGATATCCAGTGCGAGAGAGACATTTCCAAATTCAAACCTGCCGCGGATGGATTTAGAACACAGTCAAATACTGCCACTCATCAAATCCAATTCAATCATGGGATTTCCCATCAAACCCCATCAAGGAGCCAAAGTGGCCCGTGCACCACTCCACCACCTAACACTTCTGGGATCCCTCCTTTTATTAGTCCTTGTTGGGGATGGGATTTTCAGGGTCCAAAAAGCTGCCAAATTAAGCATCCGCCATCCCTGCACGGCACCTGTGACTAAGCAGCTTGCACCCTTTTAGCTTCTAGCTGCCGGGGCGCAGCCTGTCACTCGCTGCGCAATTTCGTCATTGAAGCCCCTTCGCAAGGTTTCCAACGGCGATGCGATCTCGTGACCAACTCCGCTGCTGTGGCAAGCCACGCAAGCTGAGAAGGACTTGTTTTTTCTTGCACTCAAATACTTCATTCATTCGGGACAGGCCAAGTGGCTTTTCCGGAAGACAGGTTTTTGTTGTCTTCTAGTGGCCCAAGCGAGGTTCGGAACCCCTGCGCAGCGGATGGATGCTGGCCACGGTCTCGTTGCGCGCTTTTTCTCGGGGATACCTGGCACGCCTTGGCTGGACTCACCTGGCCTTGGCGCTGGAGTTGAGGCGGATGCGTCGGGGGCTAGAGGCCATGGCTATGGATTAGTTACGAACCCGCGCAGGCGGATCCAGCCAACGTCACGAGGCGAATGCACTCTCGTGAAGATGAGGTTGAGCCCTGGCTGCCGTATCTGGCCCAGTCACTGGCGACTATTCGGGGGGCCAGTCACATGCGTCCACTCCATCGACCAGGAATGGTGAAATGGGCCCTCTGAAGTGACATTCGAGACCAGGTTGCTGGGTGCTGTAGGGCTGAGTTGGGAATAATTAGAACAGAATAAGGGTCGAGTCATCGTCTAAGCCTCTAGCGAGGTTGGCCTGAGCATTTGCCGCGTTCTTACGATCACGAGATGATATGCCTCGGGTTCGAGTGATATTCAAGACAAAATCAAGACAAGATTGCTACACACGCCTTGGAGGCGCTTCCGTCTAATCCTGGCGGCGACTCTGCTCCGTAAATCGATGGTGATGGGCTATGTAATGATTCAACGTTGTGCCGTATGACTACTGCTGATCTACTGTCCATGCCGAGGCAATGGCTGGATTCTACGCGCTCTACCATCTTTGGATCAAGTGGCCAACCGACCTGGCGGCCATGCTCACTTGGGATTTCTGCCGGCCATATTGCTCAAGTCTCTTCTCATTGGAGTCATTCAACTCACACTTCGTGACTGTATCTACTGCCTCTAGAGTGAGGTCCTGGAAAGCTTCGATGTCCAGTGACATCAAGTACGAGTTAGGCTGGTCAATCTCCGCAGAGAACCTAGCCTAGTTGGCGTGCCTCTCCCCTAAGACTTGGCCTCCTCCACATCCCTCGGTCCCTGGTGCGGCAGCTGCTCGATCTCGATGTGCTCTAGCACCTTGTCCACGTTGTTCTGGACCTTGTCCTGCACAGTCTTACCCTCAAACATGAAGCTGAGCTCTTCAAGCGTGCGATTGTACGTCTCGGGGAAGAGGAAGTACACAGTCGCAATCTCGACCAGGATCCAGACGCAGTAGACGATGTAGTACTTCCACCCGATGGCGTCGAGCGCGATGGGGTTGACGTACGTGTTGAAGAACACGGCGAAGCGTACTGTAAGCTGCTCTACCGCGATACCCTTGGCTCGCTGCTGGAAGGGGAACAGCTCTACGAGGTAGGTGTACGCGAGTGCGTTCCATCCGATGTTGTAGAATCTGTGCAGTCTCGTTAGCTTGACCCTATGAGATATGCATCTCGGGCTGGCACTCACGGTGAGTAGAGGAAGATGAAGACGAGAACTGGGATGGCGGCGCGGGACGAATTCTCAATGGCAAACCTGGCTGAGGCAATAGTCCAGACGGTGTACACGCAGGCCGTGCCGATCGTGCAGATAAGGAACATCTTACGACGAGGGAATCGTGGCGCGATGAGCGCGATGGGAAGTGCATTGATGAGGCCCCAGCACGTGTTGCTCAAGATGACCTTCTGGACCGTCTTGTTGTTGCGGATGCCCACCAGATTCAGGATCTTCTTCATGTAGAACGACAGCAGGCCGTTGCCGCTCCACTGCGTGAAGAAGCCCATGATCGCAGCGAGCGTGAAGCGCCGGCGCATGGCCGGGTCGCGCACGACGTCCGCCCACACGAACCGGCTCGCCAGCTCCTTCTCCTGCGCGATCGTGCTCTGGATCTGCGCAAACTCGAGGCGCACAAACTCCTCGCCGTTCTCGCCCTCGCTGTGGTACTTCTGCAAGATGGCAAACGCCTCGTCGGCGCGGTCCTGCGAGATCAGCCACCGCGGCGACTCCGGGCACCACCACATGAAGGAGAGCTGGCATGCGCTGGGGACGAGCTGCAGCAGGCTGGGAAGACGCCAGGCCCAGGTGCTCTTCATCTGGAAGGTGCCGTAAGTGGTGCCTGCAGCCACGATGGCGCCGACGAACCATGAGGCGTTGAAGAGAGATGTCATGATGGGTCGCTCGTTGGCGTAGCTCAGCTCTCCGATCAGGGACGAGGCATTTACGATGGCGAAGGGGATGCCGAATCCTAGAACCCATCGCGATGCGAGGAACATGTCGGAGTTGCGAGAGCCAGCTTGTAGACCTGCTCCCATACACATGATGAGGGATGCCAGAAGAATGGTGTATCGGCGGCCGAGGTACTGGGAGACAGTGGGAATGAAGGGGATGGCCATGAGTGCACCAAGGGAGTACATTGCATTCAGTAGACCAAGGCGCGACGAATTGGGATTGCCAAAGTCTAGAGGAGTCTGTCAACTGTATTCACTATCATGGGATGAGAGTCAACTCACATTCCACCCACGATTCTACGGCCTGCAGACTGTTCATCATAGAGGAGTCGAAGCCCGACGTCCACTCAACACCAAGACATGTCGGCACCAGAATGAGGTACAGGATGCGCAGATTGGGCTTATGATACCATTTCTTCTTGTCGGCCTTTGCAATGTTCGTCAGGCGAGGATCGCCAAGCTCTGCCTTAGCAATGATGGCCATTGTGAGGAAATGTGTGCTATCAAGTCAAAGACTGCGTTGTGCCGTCGCGAGTTCAAAGGAGAGCAAAGAACGAGAGCACGATAACCTCCGGTCCTGGGCTCATATATGAACGCCGGCCGTTCTCCAAGACGCGGCAGATGCGGTTCATTTCTGCCGTTGTCATCGTATTCTTCCGGCTGGACGTAGTCAGCCAATAGCCCGGGGAATCTGCGGGGTTGGAAGGTTGGGGAAGCGCTGAAGGAATATGGATCTCGAACGGATCACTGCCCAAAAGAGGGCATGGTGAAGGGCAAAGCAGGACGTGAGTCGTCGCTCAAGCGCTTGGCAGTCTTGGCGTTCGGGGCACAATCATACGAACAACAGTTCGTTTGCGTATCAGCGCCCGGAGACACGGTTACAGCAGCCGCAAGTGCCTTTTCGTGGGGAGATCGTCGGTGTTGGTGGGGGTTGGTGATGTTTGTCATGCATGGGATCCTCTTCACTTATGACTCGCATGTTCAGCTTCTTGACTCTTCACCATCATGATATCGAAGGCATGCCCGGTCGTTGAGTACTTGAAGATATTCAAGCCGAATCCGTAGGGACGGAGCAGGAGAGACCGAGCTCTTCTGGGCGAACGTTTTGCAGATGTCAGACTTACATCTACTGGCCGTGCCTCATGCGGGGAAACCCCGATAGGAAGGTCCTAAGAAATATAGGCTCTTGGAATACCCTTCTCCGCAGCAATTGTGGGAGTGTTAATGAAATTTTGCAAGGCGTCGACTGGATCTGAGCTCTTTGATTTTTTGAAGCGTCAAGGAAATTTTGATGACGATTGACCTCATTCGATCTTAGATGTCCCCTTGAAAGTCCATATATCTTCCTCTTGCCGAAAATTCTCTGGCTTTAGACAGCATACATTCCGATCCTATATCCATGCCGGTCGGGGAGACCGGCGTGTCCCTTCCTTTGAGAATCAGGGAATGCTCAATCAAGAACCTTACCATCCATCCATCTAGCCGATGTGTTCTCGGCTCGGTCGACAGAAGACATGTCTTCTGAAAAGTTATCAGGCGGTCGATCTGCATCCCAGTTAGAAGGCAATAAAGCGTAACCTGGAAGTTGTTCATACCATGTTTGACGTAGCTGGCCAATAATTACGAAGCTCTATGAGAGCCTCGAAGTTCGAGTTGAGCTTCTCGCGTGTTGTTTCAAGTTCGTGAACATCCCCAAAGAGTAGAGTATGAACCAAAACAGATGAGGAAACAGTCGTCATGTGTCCGACAAGAGGATAGACCGCTTCGCATCCTCTCAACTGCCGCGATTGGCGTATGAGGTCGCTGAAAGACGAAGCGTGAAAGCGGCAACGTGCCACGTACTTATGATCCGTCGATGATTGAGCCTCAAGAAATCGGAAATAGAGGAGCATACAATAATGATGATATGCGAGATGAATGGATATCAGTAAACCCCCTAAACCTCTTTCTTGTTGTTTGTGCAAGTTTTCTAAAGACATCCACGCATCCATCGGCAGCATATCTCTCCATAATTCCAGTTGTTGGGAAATATTCTCCATCTCTTGATCTAGTTTCGTCGTCTCCGCATCTCCTCTAGAGATTCGTCGATTGAGCTCATGTATCGGTGCAAAGAACTGGACAAGGGACACCATCTGAGCCCATAAGCCAGGCTTCCAGATTCCGTTGAGAACTTTCTGACCTGGTGAAGTTATGTGATAGGTGTTCTCATCCATAGGTAATTCCATCATAGTTGTGAGATCTTGCATCTGACTAGGCATACCGAGTCCAGAGATACACCAACGGTCTGTTGTGTATAAGGACCATCCAATTCTTTGCCTCGTCTCTTTCTCTACAATAGAGTCGGTCGAAGTGGAAGGCGTTAGGCTTATTATATCAAACATGGCGGTGGCAATACCTAGTAGCTATTAATATGTTGATTATCCAATGGCGGGCTGTGAATTTGAGGCATAAATGGCTTACGGAAGAAGAGTGCTTCTGATGAACCGTTTCCGTTACCAAGGCTCCAAGTAGCGAGCAAGATAGCGGTCTGAATGTTCTCAAAACATACGTTTTCGAGGTCTGCCTGTAGCAGACTTTTCGATCGCGCAGCTAGCTGAACTTCACGACCACGGGCATCCGGATTTGCCGAGAACTTGGATCCCAGAGCACAGATCGCATATAATACAGCCTTTCCAACAGACTCACTGCGTACCTGAGACCGTAAGGTAGCCGGATGAAATATGCTGTGAGGTCTATGGTGCAGTTTCTCCAGGTAATGCTCGACAAGCTCCACGGCCATGCCATGAGGGAGATAGGAGTCTTCGCCAAGTCCAAACCGAATGGTTGAATGGGCATTATGGTGCTCTGTGATTACATCTTTAGGAAGCAAACTCTTATGGATGGTGGGATGTCTGCGAAACTCCCCATCACACTCTAAACCCCTTTGGCGGCATGTATCGCAGGGCTCACCGGGTGCTCGAGGAGGACACTTGCGTTTGGATTCCCGGCAGTAATGACACGCCCTAGGGTATTTCATGGCAAAATAGGAGTTTGCGGTGATCTCACCACGGAAGTGGAACCTCCCTCATCACTGACTATTACGTGAGAACCCTGCTCCGGGGTCACTGCAATGGATGTTTGTTGTCTGGTGCTAGAGAGTCAGCGAGATTGCTTCGTCATCAAGAGGCTGTGACATAATGAACGTAGTGGTAGCAAGGGAAGACCGACTCTTGTGATGATGTTCAGAAACAGTTGAGGAAGAGAGCAAAATCGATGTTCAAGATGAACTAGACTTGCGGGATATCGGGAATATCGCAATATGATTGGCTCCGACTCCGCAGCTCCGAATGTCTCCATAGTTTCACCTTCCAATGGTCTGCAGCTTGTCCATCCTAATATTCAGATCCGCCCTCATACGGTCGGAGGCTTGATTGATTTGAGCGAGCCAATGCCGGCGCAAAAGCGCCTCGAAACTAGCTATTTTGTGTATTATCGAATTAGTAATATGAGCATGAAAATGTGATCCAGAATTATTTTTCAAGTTGGCGTATTTGTAAACAATTGAGTGAAAGATGAAGCTATTTAAAACGTCCAACCCTGGCCCACGATAGTTGACTGGCCAAGTGAGCTTGTCACACAATAACCGTGTCTCTTCAACCTGTCTCAATTGTTCATCGTGCAGTCCTCGACATGTCAAGTCTTTTAGAACCCCTCATCATCGGGAAGACGCTCGCGTTGCGAAACCGTGTTTCGATGGCTTCAATGACACGAAACCGATGCATTGACGACTTCAAGCCAGGCCCAGAAGTTATTAAACACTACGCCGAGAGAGCTCGTGATGGAGTTGGTCTGATTGTCACCGAAGGTACTCTTATCGACTGGGCTGGGATGTCCTGGCAGAATATTCCATACATGATGACTGAAGATCACTGCGAAGCCTGGCGAAAGGTGGTAGAAGCAGTCCACAATGAAGGTGGTATAATTTTCATGCAGGCGTGGCATGCTGGTGAATTTGTGTCCTTCCCGGGATGGCATAGCACTTGGGGTGCTAACTTCCTGTGTAATAGGCCGATGTCAAAACGATCAGATGCCAGTGTTGAAAGATAGTGGGCGACCCGTGTTGGCCCCATCGCAAATAAAGGCAGAAGGTGGCAAATATCGTGACTTACCCGGTGCTCCTGTGAGGATAGCGCAATGAATCTTGATATACAAGGCTGACCAGGCTCACTTAGGGACATACCGACAAAATAACAACTATTGAGGATCCACGATGCGTTGTAGAGAAATATCGGCACTCAGCCAAACTTGCGAAAAAGGCTGGATTTGACGGTGTGGAGATTTTGGCTCTTGGGTACCTCATTCTGTAACTCACTGTTTCACAACCAATGTCAGTGCTAATGATGTTACTAGCGGTTATCTTCCACACCAATTTTTGAGCTCGTGAGTACCAGTCCGTACCTCAGACACTCATTGGAAACACGCGTCGCTGAATCTTGGTAGGCGTGCCAATAACAGATCTGATGTGTACGGAGGGTCTGTTGAGAATCGCTGTCGTTTCGTATTGGAAATCGTTGATGCTATCAGCGAGGTCTTCAAGGGCTACGAATGTATTTGCGTTAAGCTTGGTCCCACGGATGTCCTCAATGACTCGGTAGTGGCATTCGAAGAGCTTCAAGACACCTACACCTATCTGATTGAAGAGCTGGTGAGACGCAAGGTGGGAATTATCGCCCTCTCGCGTCGCGGTGCAAATATTGGGCCCGAAGCTACCAGTTCTCCTCCCGAGTACACTCGACCTGATGGATATCCTCTCCCACAAGGTTATGATCCGATCCTGGATTTTGGAAAGATGATAAAATGCCCAGGCAGCTCCTCCAAACTCATGGCAACCCAGCAATATACAGTTGAAGAAGCCGACCGATTGGTGAAAGACGGTAAGATTGACATGGTTTCTTTCGGCCGACCATTTATACAAAACCCTGTGAGTGACCTCAGAAAATCTTCCATAATCGGATGTCTAATATGAGATAGGACGTTATTGGCCGCATTGAGGCCGACATCGCTTTCACTGAAAACGATAGGGGTGATTCAGTGTATTATGGGCCTTTTGGCTCGCCTGAAGAGAACTACAACGATTGGCCTGCCTTGAACTTACCATATACCAGATCATAGGTTTTGCGATGGCCTTTGCTAAGTCTGGTGGTTGGCTCGCTTTTCGGCAAATGAGACGTTGCCGACTGTAGTGCTCGGGGGGTTCGTAGAACCAGGTTACGTGGATCGTGGCGCTCGACTTACGTGGTGAAAGTCAAATTTCTGCAAAGTACATTAAACTTTGAGAGTCTTAATACAGAATCTAGCTATCTAGGTAGCTGGTAGCGTATTATAGTACCATAGCACCACAGTATGAACTATTTAGGCGCACAGAATAGCGCAAGTACGAGATTGATAGTATCTAACAATCATAATCTTGGCGACATCGTTAGCAAATGATTCAGCGCTTTTCGT